GCAGGAGATCCAAGTGGTCACTGCAATAGATCTCCAGCAAGGTCCCCATCAAGGTCTGATGTCTTTCCTTTTTCGTTGTTCTACTAGCAGCATGGGAGCATGTGGGTCTACAGGGAAAGAAAAGTAATTGACTGGCAAAAGCTCAGATTTTGCAGGTGTCTCTTAGAGTTACTCAGGGCTCATTAGATAGCTTAGCACACATAAAAGTTGTGAAACATGTTTAAGGCAAAGAATTGCAAGACAGGAAAAAGCAATCAACCAGCTAAAGACCCACTCCTTCTGCTTTGTTTTTACATCTCCTCAAATACAGAGCTTGTAGTTAGGACACTGGTGGAATCTACCTGCAGATCAAATGATAAAGGAAACAGTATCCTTGAATTCCACAGGTCCCTGGCCATATCAAGAAAGGACATGCATTACTCTTGACTGTTATATGCTCTGGTAACTGTAGAATAAAGCTGTAATTTAAGACTGCCATTCTTTCTGTACATCTGAAAATCATAGAATACCAGGTTGGAAGGGACCTCAAGGATCATCTGGTCCAAACTTTCTTGGCAAAAACACAGTCTAGACAAGATGGCCCAGCACCCTGGCCAGCTGAATCTTAAAAGTGTCCTATGTTGGGGAATCCATCACTTCCCTGGGGAGATTATTCCAATGGCTGATTGTTCTCATAATGAAAAATTGTCCTCTTGTGTCCAATCAGAATCTCCCCAGGAGTAACTCGTAATCATTACCCCTTGTCTTTTCCATGTGACTCCTTGTAAGAAGGAAGTATCCACCTTCTTTGTATCCACCCTTTAAATACTAGAACACGGTGATAAGGTCTCCCCTGAGTCTTCACTTTTCAAGGCTGAACAAACCCAGTTCTCTCAGCCTTTCCTCATATGGCAGGCTTCCCTGTCCTTTGGTGAAACTGAATTTTATGCTGAGAACTTCTGTCTTAAAAGTCCTGACATTCTGTTGTTCATATATTGTTCAATTTTCTATTGTGTCTTATTTTATTATACTAGATGACTGGTTGAGGTGTCACACCTCTGAGTTTAGTTAATTAAAAAGCTGCATGAATTGGAGGCAAAACATTTATAGGGTCTGTATTTTACAATGTAGGGTTAGTATGTAACTTTGATGCCTTCTCTGTTTGGTGTTACTATATGCCAATTCCAACACCTTCTAGTGTTTTCTTTGGGTAACTCACTTAGTCCTGAGAGCAGTGATGGTCATGACACAGATGTTCATATAGCCCTTCTTCGTGACAGGAAAATCATCCTCCTCTCTCCTATTGTGGAGAGGTTGGTGTGAGGTCTCAGTGCTGGTTGATGCATCTTAGAAGTGGGGTGTGGCAACAAAGAGTAGATTGTCTTGATTATTTGCAAGTAAAAGGGACCAAAGAAGTAGAAAAACAGGCTTTTAGGCTTTCTTCCAATGTCAAGTAGTAAGACCAAGAAATATTCTATTTCTTTTCAGTTCATCATGTTCCACCATCTCAAGAAAACATCTGTAAGGTACCATAATCAAGGAATAATGGGTGCAGCTACACTATTCTTTCAGTTCCGATCAGGATTGTATTTTTTGACCAAGTATCATCATCATTGTTCCCAGTTACCATGCTTTAGTTCACATCACAGAGCAGTTTTAGAGTGTCCAACTTTAATTCCTTTGGTTTGAAACTAAACTAGAATATGTTCTTCCAATCCCTGTCTAACGCAGTCCAGTTGCTGCCACTGACATCCAGTCCTTGGGATCAAATCAGAGCCAGTCTGAAGTAAAACCCTTTGAGATGTGTACAGCATAGATGCCAGGTTCTTAGCGACAGATATTTTAGTGTATGGATCTGTTCCAGTTGGTTCAAAGTACTTGTTACTGTGGACGTAGCCAATCTAACAGGCTAGAGAGGCTCCAAAAGGAGGACTACCATCGTCTCCCAGCAGCTGAAGATGACAGCATGCAGAATTCAAGGACTGCTGAACTTGCAGAAGAAATCTTGACAAAAGAGCTTTTAACCTCCCAAATATCACTGATTTGAGAACAATTGACACTATCATTATTGGTGAGTAGAAGATTACAATATTTATTGTTACTTTTGTAGAAAAAACCTAACATTATAAGAACAACAATCTCAACAACCGCTGTTTCTCAGTGGATCAGCAATGAAATAAGTGAGGAACTGAGCAGCTAGAAATTGCTCTGGTGTCCTCACTACTTACGATCAACCTGTTCTTTCTCATCAGCTCTGATACTTGAAATATTATGAGAAATGTTATTAATTTTTACATAATAATTTGCGAGTCTGTATTTATAAATCTAAATGCCATTTTTATTTTTTATGATGTTCTAACCAGCTGGTTGGTCTGGGAAAGGAAAAGGTTAGCCAAGGCTGACCATGCAAATACCACAAGGACCTTCAGTTTAAGCATAAGAAGAAACCGTGGCAATTTCAGTGCTCTCTGGCAGCTAGTAAGTAAAAGAGATGACTGAAGTTGGAAGAAATTAAAACTCCAAAGACTAACAGACAGTGGTGATACTACAATGGTGCCGATATTTAAAAAATATTTATGGAATTTTTAAATAATCCAGAAAACCATTATTTGAGTTAGTGACAAGTACAGTGTTTCACATATATCAACAATAGAAATGGCATTGCCTTTTCTAAAAGCAAAATAGTGAAATTACATTGCTGACAGATTTTTTTTTGTGCACACATTTCCAATTTTCACTTTCTGTCAAAAAATACGTATTTATTAATATATTAATGTCTTACCTACCAAGAGTCTTCCAGTTGTTCAAAAGGTTTTAGTGCCACCTTTATTCACTAAATCATAGGATGGTTGGGGTGGGAAGGTGCCTAGTTTGATCCCCCTGCTTGCAGCACTGTCACTTGCAGCACGTTGCTCAGGGCTGTGTTTGGTTGGGTTTTGACTGTCTCCAAGAATGGATACTCCACAACATTTCTGGACAACTTGTTGCAATGCTTAAAAACTCTTAGAATAAAATACCTATTATATTTAAATGGAATTTCCTGTATTTCAATTTGTCCATTTCCTCTGTATTTCCATATTCTTGTGTCCATTTCATCCTACATTTTAGTTTGTGTCCAATGCTTTTTCTCACAGCAGTGCTTAAAAATAGTTAAAGTATATGTTAGTTATTGTAATATAGACACAATGGACTTTGCTTACTGGATAAGAAAAAGGTGGGTAAGTTAATAGTTGATGAAAGGACAAAGGTTTTGATTTATGGTTTTTACTGTCTTAAATACCAAGTTGCTCTGAAATTCTGTCTATGCATCTGCTGACTGGATAACAACATGGGCTGGTTTTCTGTGCCTGCACTCCTAATTTGGCTGCTTCTTCAGGTGGTCTTGAGTCAGGTAAGAAAACTAAGAATGCATATTCTTTATATGATCAAGTAAGCAAGGCAGCTTAAGATGACTTTGAGAGGAAACAACTGAAGATGTTGCTTTTGCAAAATAAGAATTCTGTTGTCATCTGCATGGAAGAGAGAGAAAGATTTTGGTTTCCTTGGGGTCTTAGTGGTGCTATTTTTAATAGGCCTCGCTATACATGGGAAGAGCTTATCTTGCATTTCCCATCTAAGCAAAATGTCCACTAGTATTTGAATAACATCACCAGCCTGGGGTGAGAAATAAGATAAGTATTAAAATTTATTTTGCTACTCCTTATTTGAATGGAAATATATATATTTTTTTTCCCATAACACAATATATTTGATAGTGAAATTGATGCCTTTGTAGCCACTGGATATGCTTTTTAATGACTGTTGCTCCAGTCCAACTGAACTATTTAATGCCAAAAAATAACAAGTGAGATTTTGTATTTCCTGTATTTTGTAGTGAAATGTAGTGTTTTTCTCATCCTGTGATAATTTATCGTAGAGGCCAGGAATTTCGGTGATACTTGATATAATTTGGAGAACAAAAACCAGTAGGTCATATATCTCCCTAAGTCAAGAGCCCAACCTTGTGACCTCAACTTTCCCATAGTCCTCCTGTATTCCCCACTGCCCCAACCCCATACTTCCCTCATGTTTCCACTGCCCATCACAACTACGTGTTCCTCTGTTCCCAGCCTTTTGTAAACTCAAGTCTCAGCTTTGTCTAGATTCCTCTAGGGTCTTTGTTCAAACATATAGTAGGTGATGCATGGTGCTAATAACATATACAAGCTATCACACACCAGACTGGCTCCTAATAACCAGGTCCTGTGTGAGAGAGCAGCTTCTGATCACCAGGGCTAATTATTTCATTTCCATGTGCCTTATGGCCAAGAAGAGCTTCTTTTGTGTTTCTGGATGCTGATAGTAAAAGTTATATAGCCTAGAGAAAACACTGATAAGTTAACTATGTAAACTGGTTGACTATACTCCATCTGAAGTTCATGGTGAGACAAGGAAATTTTCATTGGGTGACTTATCACATCCTTGAATAGATGTCCAGGCTAGAGGTGGATCATCTTCTGGAGATGCTAGGGCATCATAGTGGTGCCATACCTATTTTAGGGACAGATGAATTATGTATACAATTACCCATTTGTTTCTCCACTGATTACTGAATAAGTCTACTTACCTAGTTTTTACCTGACTAAAATAGGTGAGATGTTTACCACCTGTTCAAGGTGCACTTGAATTATTTGCCAGTTAAATGCACTTACAAGCCACAGTTTGACCAACCTTTAATGTAACTTAATTCACATAAACCATATGGTTTACCAAAGTTAGGGACTAATATTATAAATGTTCAGAATTTTTTTTATGTGTATATTTAAAAGTAACATTAATTAGACTAAATTTTAGATTCCTCTTTGGTACACTGCAGGTAATATAACCTTCCTCTGTATATGGCTGTCAACTGTGAATCTGTTATTTATTTACAAAACTTTCAGTCTAGAACTGTATTATATATGTCTCAGTTGTCAGGCTGGTATTGAGACTGAAGCCACTGCTACTTAAAAGGGTAATACTTGTATGTAGTATATACTTGTATGTAGTATGTAGTATATATTTTTATGTAGTATGTACAAAAATACTCCTTTTGAAACTGAGTATTTTGATGTTGAGATTTACAAGACTAAAGACCTAGTTTTGTTGAGAATGAAGTGGAAAGGAGTGATGAAAGGGATTCCTTCAACATAAAACATTTCATTGAGTTTTCAGATACTGAGGACCAGCCTGGACTTCAGTTGATTGCTGAATTTGATATTTTTCAGCCATGGACTCACATTTTGGATTATGCAGCAAAAGTGACTGCCGTCACATGACTTAACTACATTGATTTAAGTTTGAGAGCTTTTCCTGCAGATAGAGGAGCTTTTCTGTGAGGTAGCCAGTTTTTACCTTTAGCAGAATTATGTTTTCTGATTAGTAGATATTTGAATATTTTAGTTTATAGTCGTTGAACCTGTAGAAATATTTTATTCTCCATTAATGGTTATAAGACGATTCAACATATATGGGTATGATTCTTCTCCTCCATCAACAATCTTTAATGAAAAAGATAATAATGTTATTTTAATTTTTGAATATTGTAAGCTTTACTTGTCATTGTTTTCTTCCATGTTAGCTAGAAATCTGTGTGAGAGTAGGAGTTTGAAAGCAAAGTCTTCCAGACGTGTGTTACACACTTTGCCCGTGTACTTTCAGCTTGTTTTACAAGCTGTACTTTCATTTTAAAACTTGAATATGTGGACTGGATACTGTCTTATGCATATCCAGTGATAAAGAAATGTAATGAGAGGATATATGTGCAATAAAACTACAGAATGTAAGAAGAGTCTATTGACATTTCAGATTTATAGATTATGAAGATATTTGGGGTTATTAAACTGTATCTGCATACAGTTTATTCTTTTTTTCTGATGTCCCATCATTATTTATCATGTATCAGTGTAAACCTGAATAAAACCAGTTGACTCAGTGAAATGTGAGATCAAAATCAATCCTTCAGCATTTGCATCTGCCCAAGTCTGGAAACAGTTTTTCAATGGACTCAGTCACTTTTCCACAATGACACTAGCTTTTTAAGAGTCAAGTATCTTAAAATCTACAAAATTTTTAAACAATCTAAAACTGTGATGTACTAAAACAGGGCTGTTTTCAGGAGAAATCAGATCAGGAAGTAGATTCTACTCAATGGTTTTTTGTAACCGACACGTCAAGGTCAAAATCCTGCCTTTAGACTGGGAAAGGACATATGTGGGTGGTAGTTTTCATTAAGAAAATGAAGAAGCAGAAGAAGTTTTTTATTATAAACTTTGCCTGCTTATATAACATTTAGATATTAAGCATTTGATTATGCAAACTCATACCAATTAGGCATTATTTCTCTGAGACTTATAAATTATAGCCTCTATATGGTTGGGCAAAAAATAGTTTTCCCCTCTTAGGCAATCAGAATAAATGATCAAAATCTGACATAAACTTTGAAGAAACAGTTTGAATTAATTTTAGTTCAGGTGAATCAAATGGATAAAATGAGATTTCAGGCTTTTCTATTTACAATATTTTTTCCTGCTATTTGCTGAAGTTTTCTCAAGATGGTAATTTCAAACTGAAAATGAATCTTTCATTAAAAAGCTAAAATAGGACATTCTGGCAATTTCAAAGCTTTCTTTATGATCCTTTCCAAATTAAGATATTTCATAGAAGTTGTTTTTTGTTTTTTGGTTTTTTTCTCCTGCATTTGGTTAAAGTTTTTATATAAATGCCACAGTTTTAGGGCCCACAGGTATGTTTGCCCTCAAAATTGTTCCCATCATTATGTGCCAAAAATCAGGTCTTAAAGACATGTGCATTTGAATATCTCTTGAATATTCTGGGCATACTATTTTCTTATCCATCATACAGATGGTAGAAATTACCAAAATTAATATTCTTTTGGACGGCATGGACTTGATTTTTGCCATTTTTCAACATTCTGGTCTTGTACTCGTCATTGCTTCTAATGGAGGTTGCGGGTGCTTATCACACTAGAAAATTAAGTCCTATATGCAAAACTGCATGTATGAAAGATAACAAATTATTTATATGGAGAAAGAAAAACAGTCAAGGGGGGAGAACTATAGTAAAAATAAAGGTAAAAATCCCACCCTGCTTTGTAGAATTGCTGTTATAACATTTGCTGTATCTGTAACCTGTTGTGAGGAACTGCACTATGGACGCTCTTTATTACTCTTATTTTCTAATAAAAGGTGTTCTGGGAGTGCAACATGTGACCTCGTTTGTGTCTTAATCTCGCTCTTGGGATCATATCGAAACCTTCCCCGACATCGGATCGGGATATTTAAATGATCCCTGACATCGGATCGGGACACCTATATTGTCAGAGCTTAGAATTTAAGCCTTCAGCTTGTGAACTTCTTTTCAAACACACAAATACAAGACTCTGATGAGAAACAGGAAAACCCACCCAGCAACAATTACTTAGAAAGGCTATTCATGATTTTACTCACTGCATGAGAAAAAGCTGCATAGTGTTACGTCAAGTATGTCCAAACCAGTCCAAAATAAAGCATCTAGTCCAATAAAAGAATACAGATTATATTCTATAGGCATGTTATGGCAGGGAATAGTGAGCTATGTGTATCTCGTTATGGTCTGTAGATTTTACACGTTGCAGAAATAGTCCTTGAGGTGGTAATGCTGAGGTAAACGGAGCCCAGCTAAGGCACTGAACTGGGGCTGAGGTGACCCAGTCCTTCAAAGACTTGCTGCATGATGCCGGACAACTCATTCAGACTCATAGAGTTTCCAACTTCAGCTTTGCGATGGACAGTTAAGCATAACTTCCATAGGTTCTGTACAGCTCCTGACTAGTAGCAATACTTGATTTCATAGAAATAATAGGTTCTTTTTTTTTCCATTTATGGAGGACCATTCAGCACTGCCTGAGTTGTGAGAGAAAAACAGTTGTGAAAACTTCACAGAAGTGGTACTGGGTGACTTGTTGGACAGCTTGAAGCGAGGAGGACGCAAAACCAGCACATAAGCAAATAAACATTTCCAGCCAAATGAGGAGGCACTGGGTCCAGTCAATCCAATACAAAGCCATGCGCTAAGTGCTGCCAGTTGAGCTTAAATCACATTTCTAATACTGTTGAGAAAGTAATGCGAGCTGCATTTCGTTATGTGCCTTTCTAATAATATCTTTTTTTTTCTTTCCCCTCCCCAGCCTGCTCTGGAGACAACTGGTGAGTTCTGTTTAGAGATCTATTTGTATGCATGGGAGGCAGTCAACAAAACCAGCTGCTCATAAACATTGCTAGGACAGACACAGATTTATAATTACTGTTATTGTTATTGCATTAATTTTCACACTTCATAAAGATAACAGCAAGGGCTAATGTCCTACCTCACTTGTCTTTTTATTTTTCAGAAATAGATGTAGATGGAGGAATTTATCAAGACATCTTTGACATCAATGAAGGTTTTTAAAATTCTGTTTCTTTTTAATTTTTTTTTTTAAATTATTTTCATCATGGTAGTCACAAATCAATACAATAACTAAATGTTTATCTCCTCTTCCCTTTAGCTTTAGGACTAGACCTTTTTGAGGGAGACATCAGACTTGATGGGGTGAGTTCAAATATAAAATACAAACCCAGAAATCTGTCCTTGACTTATGCAATGTAAATTATTTACCAGCATGGAAATGATTGATGCATCCTACTCCTACTTAACAATAAATGAAAATGTTGGGGATAGATTTCTACCAAATGTCATAGACAACAAAGGAGTCAGGTGCATTTGCAGAAACATTATCCAGAATAAGGCTGGTTTAGCCATCAGATCAATATTAGCTTCTTGTTTCCTTTACTGTTGTTTTTATATTTGCAATTTTAAGAGATTCAGCAGCACTGATCACATCCAGACAGGTTTATTTAAAAGATCCTTCATTTATCTGCCTAGTATTTATTATGAGCCAATTAAATTTACAGAACAATGCTGCAAAACCTTCATCGTTCAAGTAGATTCACTAAAACCAATGGAAAATTATATCTGTAATACTAGATATTAAAGCATCCCTATCTGATAAATTTAAAAAGTAGTGATATTTACATAGCAAGTTACATCTCAGAGAGGCCTAGTAGAAACTCCAAAAGTGTCTTGTACCCCTGGAATACAATAGTGTTTTACTCTCCCTTTTGGTGAACTGCTTTGGCCCGAGCACATCAGTGGAAGCAAGGAAAGCACTTGCTAAGGGCAGAGGAACAAACCCTTGCATTAAGAAAAATTACAGAATTGTTAATGTCTGTGAACTTTTCAGGACTTTAGATCTTAATGCTTCCCAGCAGAGCTGAAGCTGTCCTCACACACATCAAAATCTCAGGTAACTGGTGTGGAGAAAATGCTGCAGAAGTTGGAGACATTGATAGAAGGGAGTGAAAGGATTTTGAACTCAAGCCTTAGACCTCTGAGTGATCTTCCAAAGTTTTTGAGCTCTTTGATTTCTTATATGTCTTATAGGGACTTGTAGGAGACACATTTTGCTTTAGCACTATTGTAGTCCCTGATCCTAAATCACTTTTAAATGAGGACTGAATACTTATTTTTTTTCTCAAATGCAGGAACGAAACTCCATCATTGGTGACAACTATCGGTGGCCCCACGTTATCCCCTACGTCCTTGATGATAGCCTGGGTACAGTATTTACCGTTGACAATGTCTGTATGTCATGTTGATTGAAATGTTAAATACAGGTTGGTAAAGATACCATGGCACCCTTCCTTCTTGTAAGTCTTGAGCAGACCATCTCCCGAAGCAGGATTGGGCCCGGGTATGCACAAGCAGGGTGTATCATCTTGGTGTTGGTGCTGTCTCTCACCTCTGTGATAGTTTCACTGGGCTAGCCTTGGCTAGCAGCCAACACAGCCGTTCACCCACTTCCCCCACCACCCCCAGGGAATAAGGGAGAGGATTGTGGGGGCAAGGAAAAGGAGGCTTGTAGGTTGAGATAAGAACAGTTTAATAATAGAGAGAAAACTTAAAATAATACTGATATTAAAATAGTAGAGATAATGATAACAGTAACAAAATATGCAAGTGAATGACACCCAATGTTATAGCTCTCCCCCCTCCTGGCTGAGCCCAGCCTGTTCCCAGATAATGATCCCAGAAGAGCAAGAATCCCGAACTGAAACCACAATCCTGGAAGAACGAGAGCCCGAGTGAAAACCAGAGAGAGAGAAAAGAGGAAGAGACCCTCACTAATATAGTGAACATGATGTGATATGATATGATATGGAATACCCCATTGGCATATCTAACTGTCAATTAAGTTTATTAATTTAAATATTCTTCTCCCCCCTTAAATCTTGTGCTTGTGGACTAACAGAACACAAAGTCCTTCACTTCCAGTGACAAAAACATAAATATTGGTATGTTATCAGTGTCTCTCTCACAGCGAGTCCCAGGCTGGAAACTAAAACACTGCTCTTCTAATTACTAAAAAGAAAACCAGCTCTATCTCAGCTAAAAACCAGGACAACCTCCTTTTTTGGATGGTTCTTATCCTGCCATTGCTATGGCCCAGCAGATTGAATTCATTTTAAAAGCACATATCTGAGATGTGAAACTGTGCTAAGCAGAAGGAAAAACAGGGCACTGAAGATCTTAAAGCAAGGAAGCTTATCTGGCCATTTACATCATCTACAGCACCGATGGCAAATTGGCATCTTGGCAGGCAGTGCAGTTTGCAATGGCACATTGCTGAGTCCTCTGTTGTGGGGCCAGGGACAGGTCATAGCTTGTCTCTGTCCCTTCAAATGCGCCCAGCTGCAGCTCTGCATGGCAGAAGTAAGTGGTGAGACAGGGAGCTTGAGTTCTTACTGTATACAACAGAGAGAGATTGTGCCCTTACTACACAATGTGGGGAAAAAAAAAATCACCCACCCCCAATTTAGATTCAGATCTAAACCTCTGAAGGGATTGAAACCATTCCAGTTGCTTAGAGGAGATAACCCATATATAATGTTAGCAGTTCAGGTCCTGGAGAGGTTCTGTGAGAGATCTGTAGCCTGCAGTCTGCACTATGTGAAGTCTGACATCTTTGCTCCCTCTTTATTTAATACTTGATCACATACATCTCAGCAAAGTAAATGAAAGAATTTACAAAATTAAGAACCATTCACTATCATGTATTATGTACTCATCATGTCCTATTTTATACATAAGCACCAAAGAAAAATTTTACAGAAACAAAACATAACGTCACAACAGCATGATTTACAATTTTTAGGTCCCTATCCAGGTCTTAATTCAGTAAAAAGCCTGCTTATTTTCATCAAAGATTGCTGGAGCAGGACCCAGCCTTAGGACTTGTTCTATACAGAAAATAGCACAAACTTGTTGACTCAGTATTGACAAGAACATTTTTTGCTTTGCAGAAATGAATGCTAAAGGGCTCATCCTCAAGGCATTTGAACAGTATCGACTAAAAACCTGTATTGACTTCAAACCTTGGGAAGGGGAAAAGAATTACATATCTGTCTTCAAAGGAAGTGGGTAAGAGGAGTAATGTAAAATAGCTCTCATCCTCTTGGCTATAGGCTATTTTCATGGCTAGTATTCACTCTAAAAGTCGTATATCTGATGATAATTTTATATTTTTGTTGTGTCTGTTTTCTCAATCTTTTTTTAACTGGAAATTAAAATTAGTGGTTTCCAAAATTAGTGGTTTCCAAAACAGGTATTACTTAGGTTGTAATGAACAATTTCTTGCTGATACTTATTTTTAAATATAAGATGTAATCAAGTCCTTTAAGAGGTAATTTTCTGGGCACGGTAAAAGACATCAGAAACAAGCCAATTATTTTCTTGACTGATCTTTGGATATATGGAGTATCGTTTTCAAATGGCCATTCTTAGTTTTCAGAAAAAAAGTATCCTATCAGAAATATGGTAGTTCCAACTGTGGGACAATGAATTTGACTGTAACAAATGGAATTGTGTTTGAACAATGTCACACCAGCATTCAGTTATAACAATGATATTTTTAAATGCTGCACAGCACTGAGATATTTTACAGAGGTTTCAGTTTATTTAACTCTTTTGATGAATAATTATGCTATTCAACCTTAAATTTTGCAAAATAAGACTCCAGTAAAGAAGTCAAAATTGCCCCAGCTGCTTCCCTTTCTAAGGCAGTCTCTGTCAAAACAATGCAACAAGAACAGATATATTCTCCACTCTATACTGAACCATTTTTCTGTTAGAAAAGATCAGGGAAAGATTGATAGCCTGGTGAGGAAATTTACTTTCAGAAAATAATTTCCTGATATGAGAATGCATTCATAAATGGGA